AAGGGTGTACATGGATTCACCAATCCAATCTCACGAAGTCAGAAGCCGACCGGAAGGTCGCTGCCGAGTACGTCGACAAGCAGTACAAGAAGGTGCAGCGATCACTGGAAGGACTGGTTGAGATTTCAAAGGACCCCCGTGTCATGTCTGTGCAAGTCATCGGGAACGGTGACCATTCCGGATACTCATTGCCGCCATCTTACAACCGTGAGATGGGCAAGCACATCAATTGGCTGGCAGAGCGCGGCATTCAATGTGTAAACTCCACTATGCTCGCTCAAGGTGGGAAATACGACAACTACCACCTGCACGACCACCAATTTAACCGGAAACTGGTTTATCGTTTCTTGAGAGGAGCCATCACCTTCCACCTCAAATACGTTGAGCTCATGTCGAAGAAGGACGATCTCAAGTACTTTGTTCGGGAGTTCATCAGCAACGAACAAGATCGTGTGGCCGCGGTCCATCTCTTCCCCACGATGGTTCAGTTTCGTTTGGCTTTGCTCGGCACTCAAGAAGTCATGGAAGCCGTCTCCACTGAGAAGAAAACGGCAACCCCTGCCCAGGTCTTTGACGAGGCAGATGAGGAGATCCTCATGTGGGTCCATGCAGGAATTCTTGAGGCCAACGAGGAAGCCACCCGGGAGGGAAGGCCGATGCCCACTGCTTTCACTGATGAAGAGATCAGCTCCATCGTCCCAATTGACCCTTCGATCGAGGACTACGAAACCGAAGAAGTCAGGGCCCGACAATACCTTCAAGAAGATCTGAATCAGGCCGCTGCTGATGGTTTCTCAACTACAACCATTGAGTCGATCGAGATCAATCCGGAGAACACTGATGTCGATGATGATGTTGAAGTTGTTCCCGAGTTTGATGAGTGGGACGTCATCCTTGATGAGAAGATCATTGTCAATCCCCATGATGAGAAGGTCAAGGAAGATGAAATCTCGGAGGAAAGAGCCAAAGAGGTTGCGGATCTCAACAAGATCATCGAGATCACATCCGCTGAGGCAAAGCCTTCGGGAACGTCGGCCGATGACCCTGCTGCTGCAAAAGATGCACCCGCCAAGGTTGACCAAGGAGGGGAAGACATGACTTCATCGAGGGTCTCAACATGGAGTGTGGTTGGTGGTGATGAATCCAAGCCCAGCGACATGACTTCTTCCAGGATCTCAACTTGGACCGAGGCTGGTGGATCTGAAGCCACTGCCATGGACGTTGACCCTGAGAAGAAGGAAGGTGCTGATGCTGCCCGGGAGGGTGTGCCGACTGATGCTGCAGTTCCTGAGGCTTCTGCTTCTTCCGAACAGCCTGCTGACAAGACTGCCATTGTCGACCTGACCAAGACCGAGAAGAAGGTGGAGGTTGACAAGCCAGTTGGAAAGCCGGCCGAAAAGAAAATGCCGAAGAGTGAAAAGCAAAAAGCACCAGAGTCAAAAGCGCAGCCCAGACAGAAAGCGCCGCGACTCAGTGTCGAAGCTGATGCAGCCCTTCGCAAGTTGGAAGAAGCGACGGAACGCCAAGAGGGATCAGTATGGTTGGACCCCAATGACATGATCAACAGGATTCCCAAGGAGTATTGCGGCCAAGGGCGACTGAGATTTCTTTCCACAAAGTTATCTTATGTTCTCCGAGGACACGCATTGAGCTATGGTGCTCGCAGCCCAGACATCGATCCCATGGATCTTTCGATGGATTTCGAGGCGGTGATGAAGACGATGGCCCACTACGTCTCCTACCCGAAGATCAGTGAGGTCCTGTCCATCGTGCGCAACAGTGACACCAGGCGCTTTCAGGTGAAAGTGGCTCAGCCCGATTTGCCTGATGCAACCTGGAAGGGTTTGCCATGGAAGGTTGTCGCCATCAGAGCTGTCCAAGGACACAACCGTGCAGTGGTGGAAAATGCCAAAATTTCATCGCTGGTGAAGGAAGTGTTTACTTTGGATCCAACCTTTACCAAGGCCGACCTCGACACGCCCAAGTTGCCAAGGACAAATCTTCGTCCAGACCTTGTACCGGAGATGCTGGCTGCACTTCCAAGGGTTATCTACCATAGCTGCGACAGGCTTGCTATGGACAAGATAGTTGAACATGGTCTCATCCCAGGTGGCTGGCCCCAAAGAACAGGAAGGGCGCATAATTTCTTCATTGCGTCACATCCATGGGATGATTCAGTCGGTGGCAGAAAGCTCGCGGGAACGCGAGCCGGGAAGCAATACTACATTGCCTTTGACACCGAGCTCATCGTCCAAAGCGGCTGCCGATTGTTTCGTACAGACGAAGCAATCATAAGCCCTGACTGGATCTCTAACGAGAACATCATATGCACATATGATGCCATCAACAGGGAGTTTGCCTGGGTGAATCGCCCCTACGAGATCACGCGTGTGGGGTACAACAACAAAATGAAGACCCACAAGGACCAGGACACTCCGAAGAAAGAAGCCCTGTCAAAGAGCCCGTATGCCAACGCAAGGGACAGTTTGAAGGCCTACCTCATGAGCGGCAAGTCCATTCGACCCGGCCAGATGCAGGTGACCGATTCTCCAGAAGAGCTTCCCCCACTTCTTCGTCGACGTGAAGGAACTTCAGGACCCTTTGAGGACAAATTAAGTGACGTTGAAGATGGCCTCCTTTGGTGCCTTGTCCAATGCCGAAACCATTCGCAAAGGCAAGGGCCGGGGAAAAGGCAAGGGAAAAGGAAGCCGCCCGGGAGGGCAGGCCCAGCGCTCAACAAATGCTGAGGATTACATCTACAGCTCAAAAATTGAGATGCAACAGGTCCGATGCCACTTCTGCGGCGAACAGAACATTGAGGGCACCCACAAGTGTCAGTCGTGCTTCAAATGGCTGATTGCTTGGTCGGATGGAAGAATTGCGACAGAGGTATGCCGGATGGAAATCTCGGCCAAGAAGACCAACAAGGTGTTTTCCCTGGACAAGATCGACTTTGAGAAGCAGCCTCGAGCTCAGCGAGTCTCCGACCGCACCCGAGCAGATCAACGTCGAGCTGGACGAAGCAATTTCGGGAATCTCAAGGACGCTGCTCAGACACATGCGGGAAGATACACAAAGCTCGGCTTCAAATCGATCCAGGACCGCATGGAGAAGGACCCATTTTATTTGTTCAACAATGCGGTTGGCCAGATTACCCCCGACTGTTGCCAATTTTTGGAGGATTTGGCAAAATGTATTGCCCCTGATGTCGGCCGTACCCGAGAGAAGCGAGAAAAGCAGCTGGGAACAGGTGTCAGCACTCGTTTGATTTTCATGCCAGACTTCAACAGAGACATCCGACTCCCGTTGGACGTTACAAAGGAAGCCATGGTTGCACATCATGCACGAGTTTTTACACTCCCACAATTTGCTGTTCTTGCTGCGGACTTGCTGAAAGCGAGGGGGGAACCCACGCCGATGTTATTTGGATGGTCTGGCTCAATGTTACCTGTGGATCAGGGGTCAGCCCAAGATTGTTTCTTTGACCTTGTCGATTTTGCGAAGAGGCAGTGGAAGGAACAATACAATAACATCAAGGGTGAAGAACACTCCTTCGTGGATGAAGCCACTGCATCAGATGTGGCTGAGTTTCCATTGGCAAGGTCCTCCAAGACGGGTACTGGCGAAGGGCGAGAAGGATACCGGCGTCATTTTGACCCGATTCAGAAGCCAGCCAAGGGCAAAGGAAAGGGTTATGGCCAGCAACAGCGCCCAATCTTTCAGCAGGCCATTGAGTGCTGGAAGTGCGGTCAGTATGGCCACAAATCCTTTGAGTGTCGCAGTGGATGGAACCGAGGGCAACAGTGGGGTTCGTATGGATCTTACTCAAGCCGCTCGGGAGGGCAGGCCCAATGGCAAAGCTGGAATTGGAATCAGGGCTACTCTGGCCGAGGTTGGACTGCTGATCCTTGGGGAAGATCTACAGCATCAAGCTCCTCGGCAGCTCCTCCGGAGCCAGTGCGGCCACCTTCAACAGCGACGCCTGTGCCTGACACAACTCCAGCTGCTGGCGATTCTGCCCAAGCAGCCTCTGGATCAGCTCCTGCAGCAGAGCCTCCACGACAGGTACCTCGTGCACCGGTTGTGATTGCTGAGGAATACTGCGAGATCAACGGCCAGCCGCACTTCAAGCGCACCTACAATGATGGGACGGTAGAGTTTGAATCTTGGTAGATGTTTCACATCTTGTGCCATGATTTTATGCCTACCGGAAGGTTTGGCCGATTGGATGAAAGCTGACCTATGGTCATTCATTTCAATCGAAGTGCACACATTTCCAAACATGAAATTCCAACTTGATTAACTTGAAATTTTACCCAATTGCTTCAAAAAGAAAATGACACCAGCATCCGATCCATTGCAGTAGTTTGCGTGTACAATAGCCGTGTACATAGGCCTGTTACAGAAGTTTCCATTTGCCATTGCATTGAAAGGAGTGGTAATGCTCCTATGCCTTGGCGGAAGCCAGGCCAATGTCACTTTTGCTTTGCCGTTACACGCCATGCCTGGATCCAGAAACATTTGCATCCGATTTCCATGCCTCATGCACCCATTGAGTTGAGACCGACTACTATTGACGATATAATTATGCAGTGATGTCCGTGTAGCTCCGTTGCTCTCAGGTTACATCTGGCGACCGAGCTAGGCCTTCCGTCCTCCGTTAAAACTACGGGGCGGCGGGGGGTGTTTTTCACTGGTTTCACTGATTATACTCGTCATGTATGGCTCAAGAAACAAGCGTGCTAATTGTGTCTGTTTGTGGTTGAGACGCCTGTAAAACAATTTTCAATAGCTTTTTGTTAGTTTCCCGGAAGGTATATACCTATTAAACCCATATGATAGTTGATTTTCCCAGCTATAAACCTCCATTTTCATGGGCATTTCCCATGAAATCACACAAAATCTCATTAAAGTCCCACTATAACTATGATATAACTATGATAGCAAACCATAAGTTGCCTGTCGCAGAAAACCCCTTGGGTTTAGCGAAACACACCGAGGCCTACTATGAGGTGCGACAGCGCAGTGTCCAAAGCTTGGCGGAGGCGCCGCTCCGCGAAGCGGGGAAACACGCGAATATACCACAGTTATGGCCATTTACCAGTTATAACTACTAACAAAACCCCATTTATAGAATGTATAACCCCAGTGAAATAACCAGTTATAACTCATAAATGGTCATCACTGTACGCTCTGGTAAATTAACATAGACCCTGGCAGTCATCGGGGTTGGAAGACTAGTGAAACCATGAAAAATGGGTGATGTTCAGGGTCGAACTGTTAATTTACTGGAGGGTAATAAATATAACTGATGCAGATGTAGATTATGCGATATAACTCATGGAATCGATATGTATATATGTATATATGTATAGATGTATATATATATATACATGTCATGAGAGATACTACATAGTAGACTGTTTATACAATATGTATATATATATATGTATGCAGGTATGGAGTTTTCGTAAATTGAATGGTGGTACCCCCAAATCATCCAAATTAGACCATTTTAGCATTGAAACAATCATGGTGACTTGGGGATCCACCATTTTAAGTAACCCGCATATAATATCTTTTGGATTATGCAAATAATACAATACAATTGTTTGGTGGTTTGGAACATTTTTTATTTTTCCATATATTGGGAAGAATAATCCCAACTGACGAACTCATATTTTTTTCAGAGGGGTAGGTATACCACCAACCAGACATGCAAATGCAACATGATATTTTAACATGTTAACATGTTTCTGTAAATATGTTGCATATCTTGAGATTCCACTTGCATGATTTGTCTTGCAGTAGAGAAAGGTACCTTTGCTTAGTTCATTGGATTGGTTTAAGGGAAAATTTACAGGAAACCACTATATTTAATGGTAAAAACCATGGTTTCCTGTAAATTTTCCCTTAAACCAATCCAATGATTAGTAGCAACGGGGGCTGATGATTCTGGAGGTGCTGCATAGTTCGTGCGCTGTCCCATTGGGCTACCTCCACATCTCGAACTGGTCATTTTTGGGTATGGAAAGTGATGGAAATACCCGAAATGGTAAACATACAAAAAACGATGGAAAATCACCATTTTTAATGGGTAAATCAACTATAAATGGCAATTTTCAATAGCTTTTTGTATTTTTACAGAGGGTACCATGTCATTTTTGAACATGTCACTTTTAATATGGTCATTATACATGTCATATGAAGCTGGGCTATATCCCCATAGATATCCAGTACATCCCCATCAAATATACCCATTGTTGTGGTTTATACCATGATGTTCCCATTTTCGGTTAAAATCCTGTTTCTGTTGGTGAAGAATGACACCATGAAGTCTCAATGTTTTCTGGTTGTATCACCATTAGATCATGTTAAGCCAACCATATCATGTCAATCTCATGAAATATCCATGTAATATTAAAACCAGTTAGATCCATATTAATATCATGAAATATCCATGTAATATAATGTGAATATCCATATGAATAACATATTTTGTCACTTATTTTGTCACTTAAAACCCATGATATCCCTGTGATTTCCCATTATTCACTATACATTCTTCCTTCGAGCGTATTATGATTAGCACAATTTCCACTATGTCCCTTTTAATCTATTCATCAGCGAGTTATCATGTATCATATTCATTCATATTCCAATTCTTGTTGATGCAAAAAACTCCCATCAGAGCTTTAACTTTTCAAAATATATACTATAAATATGCTCACATCCCAATTATCGTCGCTTATATACTCCCAATGCTCCTATTGTTGCCTCCAATTCTCGTTGGTTATCCCATTGGAACATAATTCCTATAGCGTTATGATTATGCCCATGGGATATTGATTCAACGTTACATATCCCCTTATTAGGTTTAACCAAGTTAGCCTCTCATGGTTATCATCATCATTATGGCTTCTAACATAACCATGATACATGACACCTTTAACAAATATTTAATATGAATTAATATTAGCAATTTATTTGAGCTTATTTCACACAACGTTTTGATACGTTTAACATGACTTGTCAAGTGTTATGATTTGAGGCCTTTCCATGTTCACATAACATTAATACATAACGCTTCGTGATCTGATTGGTGGTTTGGAACATGAATTTTATTTTCCATAATATATGGGACACTCATCCCAACTGACTTTCATATTTTTCAAGATGGTTGAAACCACCAACCAGATAATCATTAACCATCATTAACCATCATTAACCATATAACAACCATTAATATTAACCATTAATATTGAAATGCCATAGAAATAGTGGATTTACCCATTAAAAATGGTGATTTTCCATATTTATGTTCGCATCTTTGCCAACCAAACGTCATCGTTCGCACGCGTGGTCGTTCGCAGGACGAGGCGCTGGGCGTTTCGCGCGGCGAGTTGATGGAGACGCTGAAGAAAGCGGGATGTCGACTGACGGAAACGGAGCAGGCTGGGACGATGGGAGAAGAAACTGGGAAAACCATAGGAAAACCATCGGAAAATGGAGGTTTTAATGGGAAGAAACTGGGGATGTAACACTGTTAACATAGCCATGGTATAGATGGCCCATTGAAATAGATGGTTTACCGTTCTTAAAAAAATTGGATCTTTCCAGTTCGCTAACTGTTAGTCATAACCAGATGGATATATCATGGGTCCAAATCCTGGAAACTAACAGTTTGCGAAGTGGAACATGGCCCAGTCGAAAGTTCGTGGATTTGCCCAGCTACAAAATGCTGGATCTTTCCATGGCAAAATGTGGCTGTTTGCCAGAGGCTAGTCATTTTAGGACCAACCATGGATACTGATTAGATACTGATTACGAATGCAGGTATATTTCGAAAAATCGTATTGATTAGTAGGATGCATAATTATCCCAACTAGAGAGCTGCTGATTACAACTCAGAATTCAAGTATTAAAAAAACGTGAGAGGAGTTCTAGTTGGACTATAAATATTTATTATAAATTTACGATCTCAATGCGAGACGATGAATCACATGAAGCAGGCTATGTGGATGGACGTGGGTTTTGTCAGCAGTGGATGGGCCTTCCCTTTATGAGCATTACAAAACGGCCAAAACAATGATCAAGCATGACCATGACATTTGCGGTATATACCTTATTTTCAGACAAACTCCTGGTTGGTGGTGTGGAACATTTTTTATTTTCCATGATATATGGGATAATCCTTCCCATTGACGAACTCATATTTTTCAGAGGGGTAGGTATACCACCAGCCAGGTTTTTATTTTCTTGTTGCTGGAACGGCTGTGCAATCATTGATCAGTGATACGGTTGTGACCGAACATTTGCATACCGTCGCTGAAGAATTCCCCGCGCAGCGTTTTACGTTCCCATTGATGTTGACACCACTTCAGAGTTTTCCTGACTATACAACCATTTTGTTGGTCACAAGCACCATTCATGCTGATGACAGAAAACCTGTCCAAAGTTTGTTTACCTTCTTAAATTACCATTTCCCCTTTTGCGGTTATCCACGACAAGCAGGAATATGAGTCATACTTTTCGATTAATTCTTCATGTTGCACCCGTTGTTCCCACTTGTGCAAATAAGTTCATCATGTTTTCACCATTTCCATCCATTTCCCACTATTCTTTGCAAACCATTTGTGTGAAGAATCATTTTTTTTTCCCACGGGAATCTGGTTGGTAGCTTCCTTTCTTTCAATTTCAACCACAAACATGTGATGACGATCCCGAATGATGGACATATTCATAGTTATGTCATCAAGCTTGTAGCATCTTCTAGCATATTGCGGTTGAAAGTTGAAAGTAATTTTGATTCTGTTTCTTTCTTTTTGTCGTATTTTCGTCAGATTCTTATGACCTGTTCTCGAAAATTTCGACGTAGCTTCGCAGGATGTGCTGTGGGAAGCCATGGATACCAACCAGGCGTGGACCTTTCTTTTCCTTAGAGATGGAATATGATGGAATATAGTGAGATATTGGAATTAGTTGGGATAGTAGTTGGGGATATAGGTTTTACTTTCCAAAAGAGAGTTTGGGATATAGTTGGAATTAGTTGGAATTAGTTGGCAATCCCATGATCAACAATCCCATTTGATCCCATGTCCATGATCAATTCAGGGATTATGAAAAACAACTCTCAAGAAAAATCGGGAGTTTCACCAAGAATAATGGGGATATAGTTGGAATGTAAAGAAAAGGATAGTCTAACAATGAACTATAACAATTGATCCCAGAATCCCATTATAAGTAATTTGCTAAACCCAGAACCTAAACCCAGAACAAAGCATCCCCAAAATCAACATGATAGGTTTATTCTTGAGTTGCCCACATGAAAATAATCATTATTCCATAGCAATCCCATTGAGTGAGAATTGGAATCCCATCACGGCCGTCTCGTCTGCAGGTTTTTTTTGTTGGAAGATGTTGGAGTCTCACATGATTTGGGATATGATATCAAATTGGATCATTCGGAATCTGGTTGGTGGTTTGGAACATTTTTATGACTTTCCATATATTGGGAATAATCATCCCAACTGACTTTCATATTTTTCAGAGGGGTAGGTATACCAACCAGTATTTGTGGAATATAAAGGATGAATATTGGACGATTGGCATCTAGAATTTCTGGATACCACTGAAGCACTTGCGAAAAAACATCCCAAGTACTCCGAGTTTTTGCAAAAAGAAAACAGAAAAGCCATGGCAAAACTCCGACCTTTCCCCTTAACATGAATGGAGCTTCAAAAAGCTGGGAAATCCATGGGAAATCCAACTCAAGCGCTAGGAGATCCCATAGAAATGTTGGAAAATCTCGGTAAATGGAGGTTGAGAGCTGGAAGAATCAACTACCCGACCTGGTAAACATACAAAAGCTATTGAACATGCACCATTTTTTGATGGTTTACCGTTCTTAAATCTGGTGGATCTTTCCATAGCTTTTCGTAAGTTTACCAGGCCGGGTATAGATGGCGGATTTTCCCGCCACAATGAGTTCATCATCCACGGTGGATCCATTCATCGAAGATCCCCAATTGGATGACATCGGAAAGTTTTTTCGGATAACGGGTGTTGTTGGGGAAAAAAACACCCAGACATTTTTCATGAACATAGCGCCATTTTCTCATCTGAACGACAGAACTTTGAGCTGCAACTGAGCCGATTTTGATCATCCAAAAGTCTCGGTGTTGGATTTTGCTTTTCATCCCGTGAATGGATTTGTAGGACAATTTACAGGAACCCCCCGGTATTTCAGGCAAGAATCCATTGTTTCCTGTAGATTGTCCCTTGAACACAATCGAGTTTGATAGTTTGATAGATGTTGGTTACCCTCTGGTAAACTGTTACATAACTATGGAAAATCACCATGTTGAATGGGAAATTTCACTATGAATGGGCCATTTTCTATAGCAAACTGTTAGTTTACCAGGCCGGGTATCTATCCAATGAAATCTCCATTCATATCCCATTGATGCAATCGTGTTCCTGTTCATCCAATTGCAGATGATTTTTCATCCCATCATCCATCCATGGTGGTAAAAAAATCCCAAACATCCAAAGCTCTTACCCTCTGGTAATTTAGCATAGCTGTTGAAAATCACCATTTTTCATGGGAAAATCCACTATTTCTATGGTCATTTTCCATAGCTATTTTGACATAACCAGAGGGTAAACCTCCATTTTCCATTAATATATCATTATCCATTAATATATCATTAATATACCATTAATATCCCATTATAGCATTTTGAAACCATTTGAATAACCAGAGGGTACCACATTACCATGGTATTCCCAGCTCGATGAACTTCGAGCGCTCCCAGGACGGGCTGCTGAGCGCCTCCGAGCTGGGCCTCTCCGATGCGAACAACGATGCGCCGATCTTGGAAGAACGGCAAGAACGGCGTCCAGGCGTAACGGCGTTTTACACGAAAAACCATGGGAAAATGGAGGTTTTAATGGGAAAACCCTAGGAAAACCATAGGAAAATGGGGATTTTAATGGGAAAACCCTAGGAAAACCATCGGAAAATGGGATAACTAGCCTCTGGTAAACTAACACAAAAAACGAACCTGAAAATCACCATTTTGAATAGGTAAATCAACTATAAAGATGCCATTTTCAATAGCTATGTTAAATGGTACTGGTTTTTATGTGGGTTTCACATGTTTTTTTGGATTAAATCGGGATGTCTATGTGGTTTTGTATGGTTTAATGGAGATAATGTTCATGATTATTAAGCATATGGGAATATAAGCGGATTTACGCAAATTAATGGGATTTAATGGGATTTAATGGGATCTACATGGTTTAATATCGGGGTTACTACCAGGGGTCATGGTTTTTTAGATAGTTTTAGATGGTCGAAAAAGGGAGATCACCGACTTGGATTGCTGAGAGCTATTTTGACATATTTTGACCTACAGATTCCATGATTTTTTCACCCATGTTTCAGATTTGGATCCGTTTCCCCGCATGGTGGGTTTATGGTACCCCCTTTGGCCCCAATGGTTCGACAGATCTGGGGATGGAATTTCTTCCCAATCATCAAATTTCTTCATAAAAAACACACCCCCAACATCGGGTTGAATGGTGAAACAACCATATATATATATATATTATAATATATATATATGTACCCTCTGGTTATGACTAACAGTTTGCCATGGTTTTTCGATGGCCCTAATCGAAATAGATGGTGACTACCGTTCTTAATAGCATGGTGGATCTTTCTGCAGCTAAATAAACCAGAGGGTTTAGTCATGGCCAATGGCATGGTGAGGACCTAGGAATCCCACATCTAGCCGTGTTCCCACATCATATATATATATACATCAATATAACTGGTTTCACCATGGTTTTTTGTTGGAAAAAAATCCACCTTTTTTGGGGGACCGCAGGGTCACTGTAACTGATGGCCTCTGCCGAGGCGGGAGCTAAAGCTGGCGTTTCGACGCCTCGCGGAAAAAGTGCCGCAGCGGGCGAAATGGCTCGTTGGTTCGTTGTTGAAAAATCTCAGTTTGAAGGATGCTGAATGGGAATTTCACATAGCGAAAAGCAGCATTCTTAGTTGGTCAATCATACATAAACCATAAATAAAAATAATAATAAGAATAATAGGTAAATCATCTATTAGTGGGCCATTGTCCATAGCAAAGTGTTAAATTACCCCATTTCTAAGTTGGTTTCTAACTTCCTTAATCATGGCTATAATTGCCATAAACACTACAGTTATATCACCTATCATCAATCAACTACAAAATGACTCTTATTTGTTGTTATTTTTAATCATCTGAAATCACCAAACTTCCCCCAATTTTTTGCAGAAACATCATCAAATCAAAAATCCTTCGCTGGTGAAATGATCGAATTTCACCTGATTTTCTCCAGATCTTCCTATGATTTTCCTATGATTCACCCGAGGTTTTCCAGATTTTCCTCCATTTTTTGGCGCCGGCTGGCGGATCACCTGGCGCCAGGATCTCATCCAATGGGGCGCTAAAGTCTTCTCTCCGCGCCTTGATCGCCTTGGTCTCCGTCCTTGTACCCCTGGTGAACATCAAAATAGCTGGTAAATGGATGTTCATCCCACTAAAAATGGTATTAATAGGTATTGATCCATACCCATATGATATACTTGGGTATATAATGTAACATGTGAGTAACTTATAATAATATAACATAGCAACTGGTATATATAACTGGTATAATGAGTAACTTATAATAACATAACTGGTAATTAACTGGTATATATATATGATATAACTGGTATATAATTGGTATGTAAACTTTCATATGAGCATTGATATAATATACTTGGGATATATAATGCAACATATGAGTAACTTTGAAGCGATCATATAGTTCAAATATAATGATAATATATATCTATATATGTATATATTATATGAGTGAATTGGGTATATATATACTATAATATATATATAATATAATATATATATATATATATTATGACCATAAATTATTGGGTATATTTTACCATATAATATAGTAAGTGGGTATATTTTACCGATAATCTATGGTGATATATAATATTTCACCATATTTTATTAATGGGATTATACCATGAGTGAATTGGGTATATAATATAATACATCACCATATATTATTGGGTATATTTTTTGTTACATATATAGCTAAGTTAATCTGATTATGATAGTAGAACATTGGTGTATTAAAACTGGTTGGTGGCTTGGAACATTTTTTTCCATATATTGAGAACAATCATCCCAACTGACCAATATTTTTCAGAGGGGTTGAAACCGTCAACCAGATAACAGTACTACTACCAGGTGATTATAAGCAGGTGATTATCATATTTAGTATATAGTAGAATTGGGTATCACCAGAATTAGTATATATTATTATCATATTATCACCAGTAATATTGGGAGTATCACCAGTATAATAGCAGACATTTACTAGATCATAAGAGTACTACTAATAGTGATTGTAACCAGAGTATCACGAGTAGATATTGCGAGTATAGACAATTATTGGGGATATATTTATTCATTCAATTACTGGGGACAATATTGAATATTATTAGGATATCACACCTAACGAATGGGGATATTATCCTGTAAGAGTAGAATATATTGGGACTGTAATAGAATAAACTTGGGACAATCACTGGGATATCGGGATAATCGACCAGTGAATATGGGGATATCATTTTGGGAATAGCATCCAGTGAATGATATTGTTGGGGCAATAATCGAGTAGATGCTTATGGGAATGACGGGAATATTTCACTGTCATTGGGATATTATCATATTGATTGCTGCATTACTACAATATCTCATCAAGTGGAATTGGGAGTATCACTCGTGGGGATATGATGATCCTATACTGTAATAGAATAGTGGGACACTAGTTGAATATTATTGGGATCATCATTAATCCCCATTCAATAATATTCAATTGGATATAATTCACTGTTAGTCATTAATCCCCATTCAATAATATTCAATATAATTCGATTTCATATATGTATTGAATATTAATTGTGAATGGGGATTAATGAAGGGGATACAACGGGATACTCCATCTCACTCCAGGATACAATGGGAAATATATACCCTCTGGTAATGACTGTTACATAACGAACTGGAAAGATCCACCATTTTGTAGCTGGGAAAACTCACTATTTCAATGGCCATTTTCAATAGCTATGTTAAATTTTTAATATGGACATATATAATCTGGGGAGATAAATCAGACATGCGATATTCATGGGATATATTGCATCAGTTTCACCAGCGAATGGGGATGCTGTTACTATCCTATATGATCCTACATGCATAATCCTATATGATCCTACATGCATAATCACTGGGATTTTGGGATACTAATAGAATCTTCTGCGGATAATCATGAGGAGATATGATATGGGAATATCATATGAGATCTTGGGAAAATCATTGGGAGACATGATGTGAGAATATCATATTGTGGAAATATCATATGTGATATGAATGGGATCACAAAATGATATTGATGGGATTAACCTTTGGTAATGACTGTCAGAGTCTCCGAACTGGAAATCACACATTTTGAGAGGTGAATCATTGAAGTTAATGGGCCAGTACAAATAACTATCTTACCAGAGAGTAGATTATTTATCAGGGGGTTTAACTAGCATGGGAGCTTAAGACTATACATTATTAACACAGTTGCTTGGGTTTTCCACATCTACGTTAGTTGGGTACCATAGGGTACATATTGAAAAACAACAACAAAGAACGCCTACATTCAAAGCAATGTAGATATGGTATCTCAAGCACCAAATTATCTAGATGTCCGATGAAATTGATGGCCACCCAAGCGTGATCATCGCCATTTCCACTGCCTTGAGCAACTCGAAAGAATATGTGCGAGCAGTTGGAAACTGGAAACATCTCAGAATGAATCACCTTAAGCTTAATCGAGGCCAGCAAAAAAAAGTATTTGCCTTCCGGTAAGTGCAAATTGTAAACTTAGATTTACCTCCTAAAGTTATTATGATGCTATTCGAACCAATCTACCTTGAAGGTCATGGCAACCGATAGCACCCCCCGAACAACAAATTTTGGTAAATCCTACTAAAATAGGAAGGTGTGGGTTTTGAAGGTTTTCGCTCGGTTGTGGAGGCTGCTGTACTATTAATCAAACATATAACATAGAACACAAGTTTCTTTCGAAGCTGTTTGAACTCTTGCTTGCAACTTCGCATCAAAAACGGATTCTTTATGCAATCTGATGAAAGTCGGGATGCGATTCCTAATCCATAGCTGGCTTGTGGTTTGGAACATGAATTTGATGACTTTCCATATATTGGGAATGTCATCATCCCAACTGACTTTCAGTCCATGATTTTTCAGAGGGGTTGGTGGCTCAACCACCAACCAGATATATTATTAACCAATGATTAACCACTATTAACCACTATTAACCATTATTAACCATTACTAATCACCATTTTCCCATGGTTTTCCCATGGTTTTCCCATGAAGCTATCAAATGCTATTAATCCATGAAGCCATTATTGGGGTGTGACTCTTGGAGTCCGAAGGCCAAAAACTAGCCCCAAGTTGAGAAAAATCATCGCAAAAAGAGAGGTTTGTTGGCATTAGGTTTACACCACATGATGGGTTTTCTTCATCAGAGTTTTCTCGATGATTTCGACGTATTTCTAGAAGTTAACAGACCCTCAAGTTATAACTTATAACTTAAGACCTACCCCCCGCCCAGCAACAGCAGATAAATGATTTTCCTTTAACCTACCTTTTATAAGTTATAACTTAAGACCTATTTTCCTTGATTTATGACTTCCATAGCTCCTTTCATAGCTCCTTTCGCTAAGTGAACGTTGGGGGTAGGGTAGGGCGTAGCCTTCGCGGTGGCAAGGCCTGGGGGCACATTTGGGGCAGACAAGGCGAGGGAAGGTGGTTTCAGACTCGGATTTTGTGGGTCAGCGAAATCTCACTCTAACTGGGATATATTTGGATATATCCGATATATATATATTATATTATATATGATATATGATATATGATATATTATATATAATATATTACATATTATGTATTATATATTATTATTTGTTTTTTCCCCTAGCGGTGCAGAGAAGCTTCGCGCTGCGACCAAAGCAGAAGTGAATTCTAAAATGGCATTCGGTTAGCGATTTGTAAATTGTTGGACAAGCAGAGGCTGGCACTTGGCAAGAAAATCCTCCACAGCTATATATTATACATTATTATACTGTATAATATATATATATGGCAGTGTGTCAAAACCATTGGAAACCCCTTCTGTTCACATCAAAATTAAGCTGGGATAAAAATGGATGTTCATCCCTTTAATTAAAGGTATCTATAGCTATTGATCCATAGCCATATCTCTATCCTCACAGCTCCATGAAGCCTCGACTCAACGGGACCATAGGAAAACCCATAGGAAAAACCATAGGAAAATGGAGCTTTACCCAACCTGGTTATGTCAAAATAGCTATCGAACATGGCCCAGTCGAAATGGTAAAAACTGTGAATTTTCCCATTAAACATGGTAATTTTCCATGGTCATGTTAGTTTACCAAAGGGTATATTTGTTACATTTGCTAAATTACATGTTATTACCCTCTGGTAAACTGTTATATAACTATGGAAAATCGCCACTTTTAATGGGTAAATCAACTATAAATGGCGATTTTCAATAGCTATGTTAAATGACCAGAGGGTAAATTACATGTTATTATATGAAATATAATATGTGAATGGTACAGATATGGAAAGACATATTAGATGGTACATGTTATTATATGTTATGATCATTTCTTCTCCCATTGAAATACAAATTAATATCTTGTACTCCCATAAACATCCCATTAAAGACAATATTTTTTGCCATTCAAAAACCATATCAATGAACACCATGACATA